GACAGCCATTTCTGTCGATTATACCTATTATATTCGACAGCCATTGTGGCTGTCGATTATACTTCCTATAATCGACAGAAATGGCTGTCGATTATAGCCAGTATATTCGACAGCCACAATGGCTGTCGATTATACCTATATAATTGACACTTTATTATAATTGATAGAGTTTTTGTCGATAATATAAGTAAAATCGACAGTTTTTTGATTGTCGATTATATTTTTGTCGATTATATGCTGTTTTCTAGTAGTGCTATTTTGAAAAAACAAATAAATAAATCCTTCAATTCTCTCAATATCAGCTAATTATTGTTATTAATATCAACCCGTTGTTATTATTATTATTATTATTATTATTATTATTTGATGGAAAGTAAGCCAGTAATTACTTATGCTGCAGAAGTCAACTCAAAGTTGGCCATAAATGGTTACCGGTCACGTGCCACACATGAGCACTAAATTTTTTTTTTCCCCTGTTCAGACCTTCAGTCATTTTAAACTCCAAGAATCTCAAATCTCTAAACTTATTGAAAGAGGATTTTTTTGTCTGCATTAGTGAATTAATTGTTTGACATGATAAAGATTTAAATTTTTTAACTTAATTCTAAACTAAGATTTTGTAATTGAAAGAAAATTGTAGCAGTTAAAAAGACATTTTGAAATCATTATATTGCAAGTTTAATCTCTTTCTCGCAGTTGGTATCATCGTGTTGTACAAAGGTCATTATCAATATAGAAAGAGACAATGGCATTGGAGCATTAGACATGACATTACTGTGAAGTTTGAAGGATCAAACAATGAACTCTTTAGTCTTGAGTAGGTGCAAATAAGGATTTGAACTTTGTAATTTTTTTTATTTAAGGATGTAAACTCTCTCAGTTTTTAAACAAGGCGGTTAACTTTTAATTTTTTTCTAATTAAGGATGTCAACTTTGAGTTTTTTTCTATTTAAGGATTAATTGATGGAGATGCTGACGTGGCAAACGAATTTTAAACGGATGTTTTAAACGGAATGCTGATGTGTATAGATATAATTTGGTTAAACCCCCATTTTGGTCCCTCAACTATTGTACGGACCCCTGACTTAGTCCCTCAACTTAAAAAATCCCTGATCTGGTCCCTACTGTTTACCATTTTTACCCCAATTTAGTCCCTCCGTTAAAAATCCAATGACGTGTCATGTTAATTAACTGCAGTATGATGACGTGTCAAAATAACGTGCCACATCAGATGCACGCATGAAAAAAGTGATGACATGGAAAAAAATATGTCAAAAAAAACTTTACAAATTCTTCTTTTTTTTTTTTCTTCTCTCTCCCTTTCTTTTCCCCTTCGAACCCAGGAGGACGCCTGGGTTCGACCTCTTCCTGGGTTCGAAGGAACCGAGGAAGAGGACAAACCCAGGCGTCATCCTGGGTTCGAACGAACCCAGGAAGACACCTAGCTTCCTGGGTTCGTTCAAACCCAGGAAGACGCCTGGCTTCCTGGGTTCGAACAAACCCAGGAGGACGCCTGGTTCGTCCTCCTCCTGGGTTTGTTCAAACCCAGGAAGCCACCTAGCTTCCTGGGTTCGTTTGAGCCCAGGAAGACGCCTGGCTTCCTGGGTTCGAACAAACCCAGGAGGACGCCTGGTTCGTCCTCCTCAACGAACCTAGGAAGAGGACGAACCCAAGCGTCCTTCTGGGTTCGTTCGAACCCAGGTGGACGCCTGGCTTCCTGGGTTCTTTCGAACCCAGGTGGATGCCTGGCTTCCTGGGTTCTTTCGAACCCAAGTGGATTCCTGGCTTCCTGGGTTCGAACGAACCCAAGAGCAAAAAGTAAAAAAAAATTCTGTTTTTTTTTTTTTCTCTGTGGATCTTGTTGTTTTATGATGATGAAGAATTGATTGATGAAGGAATTGAGGAGGAACTGGGAACTGGGAACTGGGAACTGGGAAAA